CACCGACTCGGGTACACCACCGCAGAATTCCTCTTGACGCCCCCTCCAATTCGGTATTCCCAACTCGCGTCTACGGTACTACCTCCTTGCCAAGCGACCACCTCACTGCTTTAAATGCTCTGAACTTCTGAACTCCGGGCCTTTGCGCTTCATTCCTGGATTGGCGGAGGACCCACCGTGGACCGATGTTCGATCCGAAGGTGCCACTAGCGAAATCAAGGAGTATCTGGATCAAGAAAGCGACGAGGGATGTGCGATCCCGGACAAGGTGTTGAACAAGTGGGGAAGACTGTTTGATATTGTTCTTCCGTCGTCACGACGCACTTGTTGTTTCACACGAGGTTCGTTTTGCCTCACTACCGAAGGAACCTCAATTAACAGAGAGACAGGCTACACACAGCTGGTCGAGAGAGCGGGTTCTGTCCTTCAAATGAACGAGTGTCTTGACGTGAGTCCCGATTCCATCCAATTCTCCAAGCTTATAGTCTCCTTCCAGACAACAGCCGTGTTCGATACCTTCCTGGAGCAGAAGAACACTAACGAAGCTGCCGTTCGCATCCTCGACGCTCTTCAACTGAGATACTTCTCACCTGATGAACTTTTGCGACTCTTTGCGTTCAGTCCTCCCCACACCGCGCCGGAATTCGTCTGGCCCTCTGGAATCTCACGCAAAACCAAATATCGGCTAATTGGGAACAGCGTAAACGTGCGCGTCGTGCAGGAGCTCATTAGCTATCTGTTCGAGGAGCCAGTAGCGTAATCAGTACGTGTCTTCCAAAGGCGTCTTGCTGCTTATTTAGTCCGCCGTAGTTGACCTTCCAGACCGTTGCTGCTGGTCTTGGCTGTCCACTCATTCGTGTTCGTTTTCGCAAGCGCTTCCCTCTGCTTATCTGTCTGCTAGTTGTGCATCTCGCTATACCATTTCGGATCGTGTTCGTTAATCATCCGACCGCCTCCGTCCTGTCGATATGTCTGCTGCGGTGGCATTATATCTCCCATCTGGTAGGCAGCCTTCCGGTCTCTCCTCGCATCGACGCCGAACTCCGGATTTGTCTCTGCCATGGCTCGGACACGCCATCTTCTTCGGATAGTGAAGACCGCGAAGCTCGTGAGCGATATCAAGACCACTGTGAACAGCCTTTTCGGTGAGCTTCTGGCTGAAGATAATAGCAGGATGAGGATAGAGGCACGCACGAACGGCGATTACGATACCAGCGATGGCGGCTATCGCTCGAGCGGGATTTCCGTCGGTGCTGCCGCACAGTGCCCTGTCCCCCTGGATAAGCAATTCTTCCATGACTTCAACTGAGAACGACTCACAGAATGGATTTACACATCGTCCGTGGGGCAGAAGGAGACTTTGTCGCTGCGCCATAGTTGGTATGGTATATATCATGGTTCCAGTGGCTGCAGATCGAGAGAAGAACTTGCGGTCAGCTGCCGCAATTCTGCCAAAGTGGATCTCCGTGCGAGTGTTTTCAAGATTATCGGCATCAACTGATAGCAGACAGGGGCCTCAAATGCTATACTTCCGCGGGGGCAGCGATAGAATGTTGGCGGAATGACGTCCTCGCGAGACATTGGAGAAAACGAAACCTCCGCGAAATGAAGCTCCTCTATAAAAGCCGGCCAGTCGTTCTGTCGTTTTAATCCATCTTCGTCTCAACCACCACCACCAACAATCAAATCCACTACACGATGCCCTCCTCCCTTAACATGAACTATCTGCTCGACCCCGCCTCTGAGATTGTCACCACCTCTGCCTCCGCAGGGCAGTTCGAGCATCTACCCACATTCTCGATGCTGCTACTTCAGCTTGCGCACGATGCCCAGGTCGACCTGCCCCAGTCGTCGATGCGCCACGTAACGACGCCTCCTCCTATGGTCCGTTCCAAGGCAGTCATCCCTCCTGGGAGAAACATCGAATGTCCGCTCATGGAGCGGTCGTGAGCCTTTCACCTCCTTTGGCGCTGGGTGAGTTGTTTCGTTGCTTGAATCGCTGCCCTGCTGACTCTCTCAAAGGAGTCCAACATTTTGCAATATCGAAATTCGTGTTCTTACGTTTGTACCTTGGTTTACTCCTGAATCTATCCTTGTCTCCGAGTTCTCGCGGTTGAGCGCGGCCACTACACACTGAGTAGTACTGACAACATGCAATTGATTAAGTTCTACAGTCATTTTAAATCTGTAAGTGAGCTACGGCAGACATTTGCCGCCATTCTTCCTTTCTGGCTTTTGACTAGTCTCTCATACAGACTCTATACACCGTGTGTCGAACAAGTAAGAACACTCAGTATCCGTTACAGGAGGAATCTGGCTGAGTGAACGTCAGCAGCAGCGCACTCATTGAACATGCCGCGTCTCGACATCAAACGATGATGCGACTTGAACTGATACCGCCATGTTCGCGGCGTGAAGACTTCTGCAGCTGGCCCTAGTGCGTACAATATGCATGCCTACTACGGACTAATGCTGTAGCGGCGACGTTGGAGCTGCATTTTAGACACAGGGGCACAAACTTCCGCGAAATCCTGAGACCTTCCGCGAAATGGACTCCTTTTCTATAAAGGCCGGGCCAGTCTCCGGATTCCTCACCACATCTTCGTCACTATCCACGACCCAACCCCCACCAAACACAATGTCCTCTTCTCTTAACATGAACTACCTTTTCCATCCCACTTCGGACATCGTTACTGTCTGCGATCCCGAAGAGATGACCACTGCGATGGCCCATCTGCCCACCTTCGCCATGCTGTTGCTTCACCTGGCGCACGACGCCCAGGTCGAGATCCCAGAGTCCCCGTTGCTGTCTTCAACGAGGCGTCGCATGCCAACTCCTCCTCCCATGACCCGCACCTGCGCAGTTACCCCGAAAGGGACTGTCGAGTGCCCTCCGATGGAGCGGTTGTAACTGGCTCGAACGCAGATATTTTGCGACTTGTCAAGCTGTTCGGCTGTTGACTATTGCCCCAGGAGACGAGCAGCGTCGTATTCTATTTATTCACTTCCAATGGATTCGTTTTGTGCTTTCGATGTGAGTGGGCCTGAAGGCTCCCGAGTGATAAGTTGGACGCTTTGCTTCTATATTCACTGTATCGCTGCGTCACTGCATCGTCGGATGGACTAGATCTGATGAGCCGACTCGTGAGGTGTCACATCTCTTCTTGCTTTTTGCCAACACCACGGTCGCCTCTTTACACACTTAAATACCCGGGCCCCTCGACGTATATTTTTCTCTCTATGGTCGATACTTCAAGACTTGCTGCAAAGCACCCTTCAAGCACCCAAATCCTTTGGACCTCTGAAGTCATATTACATTCTTCCAGTGCTGCCACATCAAACTCAAACGATTGGACTATTAGCTGTGCGCGAGGGAATGTGGACGACGCTCGATACGGGAGTTCAACAGGGCTGCTGGTCGGTCTGTCGCGTCGTGTTCCAACCCAATATCGACAGTGTTCTCTCTTCTTCCTCTATAACGGCCTTCTTCGTGGCGTCTGATTAATCTCTACAACTCTCGCTGCCATCGGCCCCACCGCTGACCTGAATCTGTCGAACGGCGATGTTACTACTCCCGATGGTTTCACTCGACAGTCTTTTTTTTTTCGTTTTTGCACTCATGTTGGATTTTTCAGAGATGTCCTCGTGAAGTACTGGTCTTGCATGGCCTGGTGCTACACATGAGTAGACTGTTGTACATGATCGCACTTGACATCGCCGCCACAAACGAAAAGTGCAGACGATTTTTCTTTACTCTAATTTCACACAGTTACTCCAGTCGTGCCTGAAACACCCCCGAGTCCAAAACCTCCAGCGGACGAATTCATCGCAAACTGGTTATCCATCTGGGCCTGCTGCATTGCCTGGTGGTGATGATGCAGCGCCATGTTGTGTGAATCATTGTGCATGGCATACGCCGGGGATGGGTACATTGGTGATGTGTCGATGGAGTGCAAGGGCATCCCGACGCCGTTGCCGTGCTGCGATTGAAGTAGGATCTTTGGAAGGCGCGGTTTCGTCGATATCGTATGACAGCGAATATTACGGCGCCGATAGACAGGAGAAGGACTGGTTTAACTGAGGTTCAACTTGAAGTTGGACAACTGGCGAACTCACTGACTCCGATGATGATCCCAGCAATAGCTACCGTGGAAATAGCTGCGCTATCGTCGTCACAAACCCCACTGAAAATGCAAGGTCAGCTTGTTACAAAAAAGAAGTGGCATCACAGAAGCACTTTATACACGTCCTTCCAAATACACCGGGGAAACACGAGAAGAGTAAAATGGCAGACACTGCAGTTCTGCAGCTAGGTCGTTGTGAGGTCATCCTAGTAAAGGTGGAGTGACGAAAGAACATGCTCCTCGCATATATGTACGCACTGCCGAGCAATGCTGTGTATGCAACATCGAAACAAATAAACACGCTCCTCCGCATACTTATTCCTGTACTTAACAGCTTTCGAAATATGTGAACCACACTGGAACCACAAGGGGGGATCACCAAGTGGGTGTTTCGCCTGCCACTGGTCGCCGCGGCACCAGTGTTTCTTTTAGATGTCAATGGATTTGGAAGCTCCAACGATGCTTATGGCGTTGTAAAAGATCCTGCGGCTCGTTCACGGAGGGTCAACTTTCGAAAGTCGTCGGAACATGAGTGGGGGGGGGGGGGGGGGGTCCGGGTCGAAAATTTTCGTAAAGTATCCAAAATGCTCTGAAAGTTATGGGAAAATGATAGAACAATTCGAAAAATATTAACTGATGGAATCAGAGGTCCCGATGTCTGAGCCATATCTCAGCAACCGTTGGTCGTGTGGGTCTGAAACCTTCAGAAATGGATTCCCCAGCCTATTCTACATCTAAAACCAACCATTTATCCGAAATTCGACTGTTGAACCCCCTTGAACTCGTTGAACCTTTCGTCGACGCTTCTTTTCAGTGCAAATCGGGCGCGAGGACGATTCAGAGGCGTCCTGGCGCTAGTCGGGTCTGAGCTTGTCGGTCTATATCGATTAGTGGTTAAATCACCTCGTTGTGGTCATCTAGCAACTGCCCGAGGAGCCGCCTGTTCGATCCAGGCTATGGACATCTTCTTTTGCTTCTGCTTCCCGTTTTTTGTTGGATAACTGCACTCGTTTTGAACAATGCGGGTAGGGCCAGCTACCTTTGTATGGAGATAATATAATCTCCAATCAATTCTGATACCGGCACATAACCGTATTCTACACACAAGCCTTCCTAAGGGGCAATGCGCTAAACGACTGGAAGGCGGAGCCATCCTCATCGTCCAAGTCGTCATCCACCGCCTTGCGCTTCAAGGTTTTTGACTTTGCAATCTGAGCAGGGGACCGGGCATGATCCTCAGGCTCAGTTTTGACCAGCACGATAATATGCATGTCGCGGATATGCTGGAATTGAATACCGAGCTACGCGCATGAGACTTGTGAGGAGCAAAGAAATCATCATGCAATGTGGACAGGCCCGCGGACTCCTCCCCGTTGCAGGCAACATGGGAGGAGTCCTGACTGTGAGTGGCAGGAGAGAGAGATCGCAAGTCTGTGAAGTGCATTCAGTTGGCTGCAAATCGAAAGAGCACATCCGTGTCGCGAACCTTGTTCATCGCACAGCGGGCATTAATTGCGGAAGGATCCAAACGGCAGTGCAACGGAAGTGCAGTTCCATGTCAACCTAAGTGCACATGGCATCCCTCCAGAAGTTACAAAGAGAAATCAAAGGGCAGGCAAAAGCTCTTTGTGCCTCTCAAACATGAGGTGCCAGAGTGTCGGCTCATATTCACCACTGTTGCGCAATCAAATTCTTTCACAATAATAATAATCTTCTGCGCAACATCACTGCAATCATCAAAATTCTTCATCAGCCATCAGACTCGTGCACCCGAGGACTTCCGTTTAGTGTGTCATTTGGCAACAAAGACAATTCCCTCCTGCCCCAGATATGCCATGTGCACTTGCATTGACATGCCGTTTACACTTCCGCTGCACTGCCGTTTGTATCCTTCCGCAATTAATGCCTGCTGTGTCGGATGGAAGAAGAACCACACGCTGAAGACGTGCAGGATGTTGCATAGCTATAGAAGAAAAAATGAGCAGAGAGCCCACTGGCAGTAGATATATGACAAGCAGTGTAAACGACGAGCAGTGTAAACCCACTGGTTTACCTTGACATCACTGAATGTCACCATCAGTACTACCAGTAGTCACGTAACCTCTTGTACCCGCACCTTGTCCTTGGAATCCACAGCCCGGTCCTGTTTACCTGCTGCGTGTCCTCAGTGTTTCCTGCATGGCTAGCAGGCTTCCAAGCAGCTAGGCACTAAGGTCAGTCTGCGCCAAGAACAATGTCGGCAGGTAAAGATTCAGCAACGTGAACTTTGAAGATCAAGCTGACAGGAGAGCGGGAAGCCATCGACAACTCAGTTATGCAATCCATGTGCATTGCGGCCATTGCCTAAAGCAACACAGATCTGGCGAGAATGCGCCGAGGCGGGCAAGAGCGCGACGAGAGATGCGAGACTCGGACACAGGCATACGAGAAGTGAGATTTGCAGAAGTGAGATTGACAAGAAATTGCAGGTTCTTGACGAGGACGAGTGGCATGGTGGAGGAAAGCAAGAGGTAAGTGGCATGCGTCACATCACATCGGAGGTCCAACGACACCCAAATGGTCCAAGGACGCTCAAAGCGCAAAGAACGCATACTGTACTATTTCGACCATAAGTTCGCGTAATGCGTAAGTTCCGGAAAAAAGTCCTCGTTTTTATTCGTCTAAAATCAAAAGAAAATTTTTTCGGCCTCTTCGGGCACGAAAAAGGGAAAAACTCTGAACTTAAGGTCGAAATAGTACAGTAAAGAATGCACAGTCTCAGTACGATCGTAAAAAATTTCTGTTTTACTAAACCAACTACTTAAACGTGGTGGGAATAACCACCGGATAGAGCAAAATATACGAATGTGGAGAAACGTACATTAGATTTGGTAGAATCAGAAATTGAATCAGAGCTTGGAGAAATGCATAAGTAGTTTCTCCTTGGATGATACTTGAATATCTCTTTGATTATGCAATGCTTTCAATTGCACAGAAACAGAAAGACTCAAGGCAAATTTCTGCACAGCTGATATTTTTCTTTGTTCGAACAAAGGAAAATATCTCCTATGGTGAAATGTAAATGTATTCTGCGAGTTTCCGTGCAATTGAAAGTGTTGCATGCGCATACTCAAAGAGCATATATTCGTATCACACAAACAGAAACTACCCATTTCTCCCTGCGCTGATTCTGGTTCGGATTCTACCTACATTCATATATTTTGTCTTATCCGGTGTGAACGGCAAGCACGACAGTATCGTTTTGAATCCTTTCCTCATCAATTACACTGGATATACGTAGAGATGTAGAGGGAAAAAAGAGTCTTGGCCCAGACAGATACTGCGATAAACAAAACAACAAAGCGAAATAACGATATGTATGGACCGGGGGTGTCGACGATGCTGTAAATGAGCTAGAGGAATCATCCAGTGGTATGAGATAATGATATCCAATAACGATGATCGATGATCCTGTGTGTGGGGGGAAGTCGCTGGACGGAGAAAGGATAATAACGTAAAAACTGGTATACCGAGAACAAACGGAGAGGCTCCTTATGAGCGCCGCCGCGAGCTGCGTCCGCTGCTGCTCCGCACCGAGCTGCTTTCGATCTCAGCTCGAATCTCCGCGTACCCCTTGCGGTCGACGCGATGGACGTAGTACGAGCCCCCGCCGTTGCCCCAGGATACGTCCCCGGAGTGGTAGTGGAACTCCTTGACCTCGAAGATGGTGCTGATGTCGTCGAGCTGGTCCTAGTGTAAGCAAAGGCAGACGCGAAGGAGGGGGGACTGACGTTGCGCTCGGTGACGCGGCCGTTGAGGGATTGCACAAAGGGTGCGAGAGAGACGACATAAGCGCCCTCCTTGAGGTCGAGGAACTTGGGTCGTAGCTTCTCGTTCACTGTATGGAGTGATGAGGAAAAAAAAAACATAGCGCCTATAATAAATGGGCGTACAGCTTTGCGGAAAGACTTTGTTGTCGACTAGGACGACATCCGCTTGCGGAATCAGCTCGTCCACCCGCTTACTCGTGAGCATGTCGCCCTCCTCCAGCTCAATCTCCCCACACTTGAGTCCCCACATGCGACACCGACCCTGGAAGTTCTTGGCCATATTCGCGGCAACTTTCGCGGGTTTGGGGTTCAGCTCGATGCCGTAGCTGCGACAGCCCGACTGGAGACTCGCTTGCACGACGACGTTGCCGACACCGCTTCCCAGATCGAGGAACAGGGAGTTGGCGTTGAGACCCGTTTGGCGAACAATTTTGTATACCATCGACGGCATCAGCTCGCCGTAGACGGCGCTCGAGAACGCTTCGTACTGCTTCAGCGACTGCACATACGGACCGACGCTGCGTTGGTAGTTCTCCTCGACGATGCGCATAAGGACCTTTTTCGGGAGCTCCTTGTTGGTCCAGCGGTGCACCATCTGCATGAGCTCGTTTGGTGGCGAATCGCTGAACGAGTCCGTGGGTAGCGCCGGATACTTGAGTTGTCGGAGGATTTCATTAGCCCTCGTCATGGCCGCAACAAATGCGGGACCGTCTCTTTGGTTGATTGCTCGCTGAACGGTGCGCAGGATGTTGGCCTTGGGGGGCGACTTTGAGCCAGATGCCGCGGGACGTATTCGGTACGGCGAAGAAAACTCGGAGGGTAGGCTGGATAGCGAGCTACTGCTCGCTGTCGAGTGTGGCGGGGATTGTGGTGGTGTCTCATCCCAGTCAATGAAGAGGGTGCCGCTGGGGATCGGTCCAAAAAGAGATTGCTGAGCCGGTGTCAAATAATCTGGAAGAAATGAGAGGCGCTCTGCTAGATTAGAGGCAAGCTTACTTTCCACGATACTGTACAGGGTCTTCTCTACGTCCATTATAGGGTTGTAATGGTCCTTGTCCCTGGGGGCTAGTATAATGAATCTGGGTCTGATCAGCGGCGCTGTACGCATTTGGGATCAGACAAGACAACGCACGTCTCTGCGGCGGCCTGGTTGGGATATTCCAGTTCTATAGTCGGAGGCGACTTTGGATCCTGCCGGAAGGACCTGTCTGCAGGGTCTTGTAGATTTTTGAAGTCTGCATAGATGAGTGTGGGAAGACTTGAAAAAAGTGGCCAAGGGAGGCACGTACAACCACGGTAGGTGCGAAGGTGGAGCTTGACAGCCTCCTCCGAGCTGAAGTTCTCGTGGGGCAGCACAGGTCCGTCTGAGACCCAAGAGCGCTTCTGCATTGGGACATCGTCTGGGTTGGCAAAGTGGGAGACCGAACGCGACCGACTGCTTTGATAGCGCGGATCTGAAGAGAAGGAGTCGGCCGTGCTGGCGGAAGAAGCGCGTTTGATCAGTTTTGGAGGGGAAACGACGCGTTTTCGGGGTTTCTCGGTGCGTAGTCGTTTGGCGTCGCGTGGCACGCGAGAGTCCAGGTCAGCCCCGCCTCCTAGCGAGGTGGACTTGCGTTTTTTGACTGGACTGGATGATGGCGGAGAGGTGGGTGGGGACGAGAGTGGGGATGAAGAGCTGGACTTTGGGCGCGCGAGAGTCGAGGAGGACGGGGAGGGGACAGGCACGTGGATAACGCGCGTCGTAACGGTGACGGTCGTCGTCGTCGTCGTCCCGCGGCTGGGGCCGCTGAAAAAATCGGCGTTGGAGGTCGCGACTATGGCCATGGATGGTGGAAGAGGACAGGGTAGCGGCCGTTACCGCGTCACGCCGGTGACACACGTCATCACCTTGTCCCAAATCGTCAAAGCCCTGCGCGCCCACAGCTCAGCACATGTACTGTACACTATCAAACGTCTTGTGGACCTTCCCCTGTAACATTCTGGGTCCTACGACCTCGTCTTTGGTTCAAGCAGTGCAACACAGGCGAGCGATGCCAGTGGTTACATTCCTCATGAGTCACTCGCGACTACCATGATACCGAAGGCAGGGCAGGGTTAAAAACATGGAACAATTACTTGAAATACGACCGCATCTTCTCCATATACTCTTCATCC